GTTATCCTTTTAAAATCACTTCACAAATTGCTCAGAAGACTGTGAGAATTTTAGCATATAAAAGCAGCTGTACTGGGCAAGACCAAAGGTCAGTCTAGCCCAGCGAGAAATTGCAATAATATCCAAAAATAAATGCATAAGGAAGAGTGTCTGAACAGGACAGACACATATTTTATTTCCCTCTTATTCATTCTGTCAGATTCCAGCCATTCAAAGTTCAGAGTTTTTCTGACCTGGATGTGGTTTTTATGAGTTTTGGAATCCTATTATGGTATTTCTCTTTCATGAACTTGCCCAATTTCTTCTTAAAACCGTATAAACTTTTCCATCTTTATGTAACTTCTGATTTTATGCACATTGGTCATTTCTCTCCTCATCTGTCTTCTATCTTCCTGACTAAAGAGTCCTAGTCTATGGAGTTATTCTATTTAATCTTTCTTCTTATGGAAAGTATTCTATGCCTTTGATCATTCTTGTTGCTCTTCTCTGAGCCTTTCCCATTTCTCCCTATTTCTGTTCTGAGGTGGGTATCCAGAACTGCACTCTCTAGTCAAGATGCAAGCACACTGTGGATTCGTAGTTGGGGATAATTATGTTCTCTGGCTGTTTATTCCTTTCCTAATGATGTACCATGTTGGTTTTTTATTTTTGATTGTTACTGAGCATTGAGTTAGCCTTAAATTTAGGATTAGTAAGCATCAAAGTCAGGATTAAATCTTAAGAATCTCATGAGGTCGTTCTACAGTTCTTCACAGCTGACCCTCATCTTTACTGCCCTGAGCGTCTAATTAGCAGCAGCAAACATCGCCATGACATACCTCACTGTGCTTTTCAGGCTGTTTATCTAGGTATTCAGTAGCACAGATCCTGATGGAACCAGTTCACCTGGTGACCACTCTGCACCATGAAATCTGATCATTTACTTCTGCAGTCTGTTTGCCATCTTTTAACTGACTTTCAAACTAGATAAAGACATTCCCACATAGCTCATGGCTGCGTAGTTTTCTTTGTCGCCTTAGATGAAGGATACAGTCAAAAACCTTTCAGAAGTCCACGTAGCCTATATCAGTCGAATCTCCCTTATACACAGGATTCTTGATGAGATCCAATAAATGAGGACTGAGCATGAATATGACCTGAGGGCTGGTCTTCTACTTTCAAGATTACATTTAATAATGTAACAATAGCTTCAAATGATTAATGAAAACAAGCTGAGGCACAGCTTCTTTTCTTCTTTTTTTTTTCTCTCCCCAAAAAGCATGTGGAGTAGAGGGAATATATTTAGGAGACTTTTGATGAGAACAAATGATGAGCATCTTCCTTAATTTTATTTGCGGACAATGTTGAGAGCTTTTCGTGGCATGGATATTTGGAGGTAGAATTGGAAAATAGGATGGCTTAAGGGATAGGCACATACTTAGGGTCTGAGCTGCTGTTACGATGAGAACAAATCACAAATTTCATTTATAAAAAAGCAAAAACTTTCATAGCTGTAAAAATTACTATAAACTAAATATACTTGATAGCATATTGAGGAACCTTTACGTTAAATGCGTCCTGTGTCCTTGACAAATTTATTTCAGCTCTGCGTGACTTGCCAAATATATTGTCTGCAGGACAATGTATTGTCCTGCAGTTGACAAGTGCAATGCCTTAGCAGAATAGGGTAAGTAGTATATACCATAAGCTCAAAATATTTATGATTTAATTTGCTGATGGACCAAGAAAAGAAACGAGGTTGGGTTGTTCATTTCCTGAGGGGGAGGAGGAGTTTGTTGTATTTGTGTGTGGGGAGGGGAGGAGGAGGTTGGTTGTTTCTTAAGGGGTAGGAAGAGTTGTTGTGAAGTCAATAACTTTGTGGTAAGTGTCTCTGTGTAACACTAAGATGAGTGCTGAACATGAGGATTCGATATTTTGATTCACATATCATTAAATTTTCTCTTCATGAGAGTGGGTAGGGATTTTTTTGTAGAGGATCTGTTGTCTATTATGTATTCCTCAGCCTTACAAACACATGCAGACCAGTACCACATGCTACTCTGGGAAGAAGCAGCAAACATTGCAACTAATCATAAATTCATGGAGTGGAAAATCAAGACTTTGATGAACGTAAGGTCACTATAAATGAAGCATGAGATATGAATACCACTTTACGGTGGTAAAAATGAAATGGTGGATACTTATAAGGGAGAAACATTAGAAAGTGATAGATACCTCTAGGCAATTTTACTTTGAAGTGAGGAGATATAGTAACCATTTGAAAAAATATTAGGTATTTTTTCTGTATAAGAACAGTTCTACATTGCTGTTTGTGAATGTATTCTTGTTCTTTTCTACACTGTGTGAAGAGCATAAGTTTTCCTGGAAGAAAGGACCAGGTTCAGGACTTACCTTCTTCCTAAGTACAGTAATCAGTCTAGAGTCATATGAATGTGTATATTTATTATTTTTGCTCTTTCTGAAAAAATTCCTGCTGTAAGATTTAACAGTGGGATAAGAAAGTCCTTTCTTAGCTAAGCATACAGTCTAAGGATAAAAGCTCTTTCCTGGAAGATGGGAGGTACGGTTTGAACCTTGTCAGTCTCAGAAGGAAAAAGAACCCAAATATCCAGGAAACTGTTTTATAGAAGTAGATCATAACTTATCAATGTATTAAATGCCAGTACCATTTTTCTAGTAAAATTAAATAATTATGGAAAAAGAAACACCACTGTCTCATGTCTGCTAGCTAGTTCAGTTTACTGGGTCTGAATGTGTCTTATAGGTCCACTCTATGAGATACAAATGAATCCCATTGTTTGAGACTTGACCTTCATTTATTACGGAAAATATGTTTATTGCAACCTGAAAAACTGAATGTTAGGAACTATTAGGAAAGAAGCAGACAATAAGACAGACAACATTGCTTCCAGATTGTGGGTGTATCTGTACTCACTCTGTTCGGTTCTAATTCTCTATTCCTCGCTCCGCCTCTTCGTGTTAAAAAAGATGTAGTACAACTAGAGAAGGTCCACAGGACATAAGAATGATCAAAGGCATGACATTTCTTCTGTGTGAGGAACAGCTAAATAGATTCTTTAGCCTGGAAAAGATTATGAATGGGGAAAATGTGAAAGGTCTATAAAACAATCAATGGCATAAAGATCAATAGGGACTGGTTGGTCATTATCTGTTGCAGTATGAGAATGAAAGAGCTACCAAGTGGTGGGTTCAAAACAAAAGACCTCACAAAAATTTTTCACATATTGCATTATAGTTATGTGAAATATTACTTAAGTTCTTTGGAGCAGTGTCATGTGTCGATGGGTGTATTTGAGACTACTTGTTTATATACTTAAAAAGACTTAGCAAAAAAAGGTCTGTGGTCACTAGGCAGTCATGTAAACAGTATAAATATAAATATGAATACCAACAATATTCTTAATGCTTAACATAATATACTTTTGCATATTATTATTAACAATTTATGTTGCATCTAACAGTATGTATTTTACTAATAATTTATTTTTAGCACTATTATTAATGAAAATATTGATATTAACAATGTTAATATAGTTTCCTAAGTTGCCTGCTCACATGAATGTTCATTTCATTGTTTTTCTCCCATTTCTTTTTTTTTATTAATTCTTATGTGATTGAATCTTAACTAATAAATATACTGATGAACTATGCTTTTAAACTATGCAATCTCTAAAAAACTACCTTACCTGGATATAAGCTTTTTTTTGGTAACAGTGAAACCTATAGAGATTTCCTAAAGTATCTATGATTGGTAAAGTATTTTTGTTGTTTATTAGTACTGCTGATGTTTAATGGGTTGCTGTACCCAGCATTACGGTACATGAGTACCGTCTTGCATCATTGTATGTCTCTTGAAGATTGCCATGCAGCTTTATGCGGTAAGGAACACAGCTTTTTGGGGTAACCTACATCTGTGTTCAGAGATATTCACTGATTTTTCTTATCCTGGTACAATTCAAAGTGTTACTCTTTTCAAATCTGAAGCCTATAATCTAAACAGGGTGTTTTTCCTGTTGGTCTGATGATTGGGACGTTCCAAGACTAGCAACAAAGCTTTTGTAGCTAAGGGCAAGTTAACCTAGTATGCACAGACTTTAGAGCATAACTATATTTGACTTTAGGATTGATTAATTTTGTCTGGTGTATAAATTTTTGCTTTAAAGTCCCAGAGTATTAATACAGTTGATGAAGCCAGTTATTGGTAGAGAACCATACCAGGTTAACAGAACCTTATCCAAGGAAGTGTAATTTATAGAATCCTGGAGGAAATATTGTTTATTGTTAAGAAAGTACAAACAGTATTGTTTCTACCTGCTTTTCAGTAAATAATAGAAGGGCAGCCTTTGAGAAGCTCCAGAAAAATCTGGCTACTGTGGTATGAATACTCTTTATTCAAAAACCATCAACTCTGCACAAGAACCAAACTGCTCATTTTTTTTCATCTTGGCATCTTGCTACTTGCTGGATTTTTGAGTCACTGGCATGAAGGTTAAATGCCCACATTTTGTTAGTGAGTCCAAGCCCAACTTTCTCTAAAGTGATAATTTGGCTTTCAACAGTACATGTTATAGATCTAAACCAAAAATGTAAAATTTGAGTATCGTGTACGTAGCTAAGTACTAACTGCATATCTTTCTGTTTACAAAAATGGCTTTGGTTTTGCTATGTGCTTAGCTACAAATGTATAAACATTGGGAGTGCAGATTTATACTTTTACTATGGGCACTTTACGTGCTGAAGTGCAATACAAGAAAATCTGATTCATGGAAACTTAGATTAAGGAAATGTGCTGTGATTCTGTGATTTTATTTTTGTCCTTATTTTTCTGTTAACAGTCAATGTGTTGACCTGTTGCCTGTTTAAAAGTAACTAGTGTTATTGGTTCCCATAGATGCAATGCTTTCTTAGTGTTTGAGTTAAATGAAAGGATGAAAGCATTGATTAATTCTTTATGCTGTATCTTGTGTTCTGTTCTTTAGAGTACTCGAGTAGCTTTAGACCACCTGGAGTCTGTTCCTGAGAAACTGAGCCTGTTAGAAGATTTCAAAGATTTTGGAGTAAGAGAGATGTGACTTGACTCTTTCAGTAGTTTTAAATTATTTAGGTCAATCAATGTCCTCCTGATATATATAGATACATCAGTTAATAACATGCATAAAATCAAATAGGTACATATTATATAGACAAAAATGTACAGTAGTCCATTTTGATCATATGTAGTTTTGTTGAGGTCATTAATTGATTCCTAATTAGTAACCTAAGACTGCTGAGGAGTAAGCAAATATTGATAACTGATTATAATAGCTCAAGTCCGAATGATTGGCTCAGAATATTTGTGTTAAGTGCTGAATTCTGGTATTAGTTGTTAATAATTAAAAATACTATAATAAAATAAATTATTCCAATTATTTAAATATTTAAAGTAATAAGTGAAAATAGGTGAGCTTTACAGCTTCACAGGCTTTTTTTCTTAAAATAAAGAAGATGAATAATATCACTTCTTGATCTCAGTATCACTATCAAATCAAGATGTATTTGTTCTGACACAGTGGGACACACTGAGAGTAGTAAAGGGCTACTATCAGGAATGATAAGTCCTAAATTGGATCTTGTATGGTTAAATGGCTGGGCCACTGTATTATCATTACTTTCCACTCATGAAGTCAGTGGTCTACTAAAAGAGAATTTGGGTCATTATAGCACAATATAAATTTTAAATCAGAATCAAATCACAGACCAACAACTGCACAATGATTTCAGTCTTATTTTGTATTAAAAAGTTTCTCATCCTGAGGTGTTTACAAGCATTTCAAAACGTATTTGTTCGGAACACCGTGTATTCTAACTGTTCTTGCACAAGGTCATGGGTTAAGACACGGTGGAACATATTCAGGCATCATTTTATGCTGTTCTTTCTATTATATCAATAAGATTAGGAAACAATTGCTGATTGCAATGTTTTTGATAAAACAAAATATTGGTGAAATGTGTAGCTTCAATTTCACATTCCAGGTATCCTAAGAAGAGCTTTTTGTTTTGACAGAAGTTGAGGTTTGCTTTCTGTTGCCTGACAGTTATGCCACTCCTTTGATTTGGGTTCTAGTTTGTACATTACTGAAGACTGAGCAAAAATAGGCATACAGAAGCTTAAATGTAGGGTTTCTACAATCTCCTTCGCACTTGCACTCTCTTGCTTAAAATTATTATGCAATGACATGGTCATTTTCTGATTTACTGTAGATCACTTAGCTGTGACTTAGCCAGTGTTAATATATTAGGAATCTGTATTCTTTGTTTTACTTTGACCTCTGTCCCTCTCCCTGACTTAACGGTTTTTTACAGACTGTTTCTTAAGATGAGTCCCTGTCAACAACTATATATTATTTAATAAATAATTTATTTATCATGTATGTATTTATTATTCAAGAGAGCTAAACTTTATACCTTAGCTATGGGAATGATGTCAATCTGAAGTTCCCTCAGTCTTCTATTTGAAATACTCCATTAGAAGATTTTTCTTAAACAGTAGGAAAAAGTATTTTAGACCCTGCTGAATATCTGTACAGCAAAGTACAATGGTATTATGGTATGTATCTAGCAAATTTCAGTCTCAAGTGGGATGCATGAATGAAGTCTTTCAAAACGATCTATTACTTTCTAATGCTGGCAAGTTATTCCCTCGATACTATTTGTAGGAAGGGAGAAGGAAAGAAAAAGTAATTCTTTATTTGATAATTGTTCACAAGTTGTGTGGTAGTTGTATTAATTCAAGTGAATTGTTAGCTAATCACTGAGAAGTGTTATATTTCCACATTTGAAAGTACTGTTCAGTCCATATGCCTAGAACACAGTTTTCTTTGAGAACTTTTTCTAAAGAGTTGCCAGTAATTTTTCTCCATTAAATAATTCCTTTGTTAGAAGCTATGATATAATTGCATTTTGGAAAGAGTTACAAGAAAGTTTTCATTTAGTTATGAATCAGGCTGTTCACAATTTTAACCTGTTTTCTGTTCCGTGTAGAACATTATGCTTTCATATGGCCCCTGTATTTCTACCTCGAAAGTTAGTAGTTAATTCATTCTTGGTGTGTTGAAAATCCTTGGCAATACCTGTATTTACAATAGCCAACCAACGCGTATTAACTGCTTTTCACCTTACAAAATCATTTGGACCTTTCAATGCGTTTCTAGGAGTCATA